CTGGGTTTTCTTTTAATTCTTGTTTTATTGCGTATGGCCGAGCAATGCGAGACAGCATTGCAAAATAATTTTTCCCCGCCATATTGTGTCGTATACGTGCGTAAGCGCGCGTGAATGGAAAAAATTGCTCCGCACTCGGCTGGCCCGCGATAAAACTTATTCGTTCTGGTCGAATACCTCGCTGACACTTTCAATTAAACGTCATTCATCTCGGATTTATTTAGTGAGTTAGTGCCCGAGTCGGGTACCATTCATCAATTGGCTGTTTATCAACGGCGTACGGAATAACGCACCTCTTTTCCTAACAGGTAAAGGAGAAAAATGATACTGTTCTGCCGAGGGCAGTCCTAACCAGAATACGTAATGCATCTTTCAATTAAATATCTCGTTTAAGAATAGCCTTTCTTGCGAGTTCGAAGCTGCATTTCACTGTCGAATCAAGCTTTACATTTCGAAATGTATCAAAGAGAAAACTATGCAGTCCCGTAAATTCTTTATCATGCAAAAAGTACTTAGAAAAGCCCATAGTCACAGAAATCCACAAAGAATCTCTCGAGCACACCAGACAGATAAAAAGAAGCAAAGCTCGAAGATGTTAAATAATTGAGGAAGCGCAATATCTGCATAAAAATCCAAATTAACAATTCTCTTTTAGAAAGGTAAAAAAAGGAGGAAGAAAATCTCACTCTGCGCCGGTTAAAACTCGGAGCTTTTAATCTAGCTCTTACGCAACGTGGAGGCATTGAGAGAGAGAAAGAGAGAGAGAGAGCGCGAGCTCGTTAGCCGACGAGTAGTTTCCTCGGAAGAGCATTAGCGGCGTTATTAGCACTAGTTAGAGATGAGAGCTGCTACATTTCTCTCTTCTCGTATAATTATCCTGGCGCTTGTCTGCTGCGATGTTATCTGCGATCCGTCGGTTTAATTATCACTTTTTGTCGAGACAAACTGACAGCTTGACGTCTTTTCTAACCGCGCTCGCCATTGCTCTCGCTCGAGAGATCACTCGACGCACTCGAGTATCGTGGCGGTTTATGGCTGGCGCGCTCTTGTGTACTTCTTTCAGTTAAAATATTGATTGTTTGATTATTTGCGTAAACAATAAATGATACTGTTCAGCTCCTCTTATACGTACGTAAATAGCACACCAAAACATACATATTGTAAAATCCGTCTACAATGAAGTGCAAACAGGAAGAAAATTTTTTTGAGACTTAAGTGAAATAGCAACTCGCGGAGAGTACATAGAAATTTGTGATAAATCAGGTGCTATACGCTTTCGGACGTTTCCACTAGTTTCTATATTCCGGAGAATAATGTCTGACTACTATTGGTGGATGACGCCAGCTAAATGAAAAAACGAATAAAACCACTGCAGTCAGTCAGCGCCTCGTTACTATTGCACCAAAATCGCGGATTCCAACGCATGAAATACACTGACCATTACAAAATAACGATACTGCTTGAATTTATAGTAGAACCGCAGTGTGTATATTTTCCTTTCACGAATAGTTGTTAACCTGCATTGCACATTGTAATAAAAGCGATAAAGTTTATATACGTCAGTAAAGAGGTTCGCGCGCGCGGAGTGTATAGCCCGAAATGCGCAGTTATAAAACTTTGGATAAATAACGAGCGTATATTTCCTCGAATCAGATCGTAAACACCTTCTTCTTGCCTTGATCTCTCGCGGTATCGCCGCAAGAGAGAGAGAGAGAGAGAGAGAGAGAGAGAGAGAGAGAGAGAGAGTCCATAAAAATGTGAAATTGCCGCTCTCCACGTACGAGATATACCGACAAGGAGATCGTACGTTATAAGCGCTTTGGGCAACGGAAAGATAAAACTTTTGAACAGTTGGCTGCGATCAATAGGCAGGTAGCGACGACAGAAAACCGCGACAAAAAACACCTCGTGCTTCTTCGCGCTGGTTAACCGCGCCAGAGTGTCGTCACGCGGAAAATTATTTCGTCACGCCGGAGATTGATGACGTGCTGTTTCGTTGTTCTAAAAAAAGAAACGGAAGGAAAGTAAGAAACCTGTTGACGTTCTCTTAGCGAATTGTCCGAAAGCTTCATAAGCATTAATTGAAGAAATTTGACGGTCAGCCGGGAGTCAAGTAATCAAGCAGCACGGAAAAAAAAAAGAAAAAAATCGATTCGAGCGACGACGATCGATGTGCCGCTTGAATTTATTGCGCAAACGTTATATACGGTTTTTAATAAAATTAACTTTTGGTGAGGATTTAAAAAGCGCGACTCGATCGTACGAGTCGCGAATTATTAGCGAGAGCAAAGTGTCTGGCTATTATCGATTTGCGTTTAAATTTTGCTGAAATCTCTGGCTGATAAAACAAGTTACACAGGCGCATGCTCCTGCCAACCGAAAGCAAGAAACGAAAGAATTTCTTGGGGATTTATAAATAGAGAGGGCAACAAACAAGAGAATAGATATAATAAACAAGAGCAGCACATTTTATTATCCATTCCCGCGGCACATTATAGACCTAAAACGTTAAGAGCCCTTAGCGAGCGAAAGATAATGCGCGCGCGTGTGTGTGTGTGTGCGAGCGCGGACAGTTCAAAGCGTTGTGGTCCGAATTAGCCGAAAAGGAAGGGGCTATAAACGGTAATTGCGTTTTTTCACACCACCACCATAAAGCTATAAAGCTTTGTGTGCCTTTAGCCGTCGTGGTCGGTCCCAACAGACGAGCGGGAAACGCAGGCCCCTCTCGCTTCGTCCTTGTTGTCGGCGTGCCAAGGCAAACATTAAAGTTTCGCTAATGACGCGCTCGCCACGGATATCCGGATTAAATTAGAATTCGCGGACGGAATCGAGGCTTGGATCGCGATCGACTCCAGCGAAGGGCGTGGCTTCCTTTCCGCGTTATTCCAAACAATTCGCTTGGCGGCCCCACGGCAATCTCCCTAAATCGGCGATTTCAAGGCCAGTGAATGTCAGTTCTCCGCGGAAGGTGCTCTCCCCGTACACGCTTGCCCTGTCTTTCCGTCACATCGACGCATCGACGCATCGACGCATCGACGCATCGACACGTAGTCGGCGAGGCTGATGAGACGGATTATGCATGCCGGTGTCTGTAGCGAGGCGCGCGCTTGCCCGTCAGCCTTATTTGACTAAACTATTCTGTAAACGATACATTTGCATGGTAATTAGGCTGCGCATCGGCCGACGTCGCGGGAATAGATATGAATAATACAGAGCGAGAGCCGCATTGTCGGGCCGGTGTACGCGCTCGCGAAGCTTGACAATCTATGCAACTGGAGCTCGCTGTTTGCCATTAAATGGGCTTTAATGCATTTATCGCGTGTGCACGCGCGAGATCCGTAATGTATACGGCGCGAAACAATTGCCGATCCGCAGAGCGCGGCGCGAATCGCGATTGATAATATTTCGATCTCGCGTTGACAAACTACCGTCGCCGCCGCCGCTCGCGCGCTCCATTTGTCGCCGACCGTTCAAATACTCTCTTTTAACGCACACAATGGTGCTATCACAACAAAGCCAATTACGCTGCGCGACTCGCCGTCGACGCAGAAGGCATCGGCAATATTGCTAAAATGTCATTGTTCGCGGCGCGCCACGATTGTCCGCGGAGAGCGACGCTGCGTGAAAAGACACAATGCGCTTCGCGGAAGTTTGTTGGCTGGGCAGCGGCGCGCGACCTCCTAAATCATTTAGATCGATAAGCCGAGCTTTATAAATAGAAAACGCCCCCCCCCCCCCTCTCTTCGTCTTTGCAAAAGTGCAATTGTAGCGCCAAGTTTATATCAAAGGGGCCGCTGAAGAGTATCGTGTATAAGCTGTCGAGTGGACTTGGCCGTTCATCAGGCCGCGAGCTGCACACAGTAGCCTGTCTGGCTGTGCGCGCGCGTGTGTGAAGCGACAAAGCCTGACACTCTGTCGAGCAACTCTTTTCAAAGAGCCTAGCGGCTTACTTCTTTCTTTATTTTGTCGTTGTGTCGTTGTTGCAGCAACATATACGTCACGACAACGAGGCGGAGACAAGTTGCGCTCGCTTTATCTTTTCGCTCTTTCATTCAATGTTTCCTCTTTTGTTTTCTTTATAATCAGCGTCGCCGTTAGACTACCTGCAGGAACATAGTTTTTTGTTCGACTCGCACAGAAGGAACTCGAATACAAATTGTTCTTGTGATTTTTGCATAAGGGACTGGTCTACTTTAAGTTTGTACGCGGTTGCTTCGGAAATAGCGTAAGTTGTGCGCTCTGGAAGCAGGATGTTTTTTTGCAAGACGATTTTGCAAGATAACCGCTTTCTAGAAGGTTCCTGTTATTGATCGATCGGGTTGTCATAACAAAATTACACCACATTTCATTTCCGCGAATATCAATTATGGATTTTCACGCGTAACTTTGTTTCTTTTTTCCGCACAATGCACAATCGTCTTTACATAAATATTTTGGATGTCTGCTCCAGAAAAGAAAAGAACGTACGAGACAGACTTTGCTCGATAAGAACTTTACGAAAGTCAGGTGTTGATATTGCCTCGGAAAAGTACAAGAGACGCGATCCTTTCGGTTTCACGAATATCATAATCGTCACTTAATGAAACCACGTCATGACCGAACGAACGATAAATGGGCCCTAGAAAGCCGCAGCGTAATTGATTGCAGTGTGTAATTACAAAGCCGGCAAATCGCTATCTGGGAAAACTAAGCGGGCAGTCATCAATCAACGACAAAGGCGAAGAAAAAAACGACATCGGAAGAATGAAAGCAGCCTCGCAAAGAAAAAATCATCGTCGTGCGGACGTCATGGCGCGCACTAAACTCAATCCATTTCTGTCGTGGTGCTGGGCGGCAAGTTATAATAGCGAATGGGTGGCGGCGGCGGTGGTGGGGAAGCGTTCTCCTGCTGCTCGGTGGCGGCGAGCGAGATCGGCGCTTGGCGCGGTTCGGTCGACGGGGCGGCCACCTAGCGTCGAGGGCAAGTGGCCGCGGGAGCGCGCCGCTCGCCAGCTCAGTCGCGCGTCGGAGTCCGTCCTGCGAGCAAGCGGATACTGGTTTGTCGTTGCCGCTGTGCTCGCGCGTGCCTCTCCGCGATCCGCGCGCGCGCGCGCGCGTGCCAGTGCCCACGCGATTCACCCGCAGTGAGAATATCGCAAAGTGCTAACGCCAGCGAGAAATGAGCGTGTGGTGTTGAGTGACGGGATGTTGTTTAATGCCCCGACCGATCGACCGACGCTGAAGGAAAACGAGCCGTTCGCGATGCTGACGTCGAGCGCCAACCAGTACCTCCGCCCGGAGTACCTGACGCCCCTGCCGACCACGGTGAGACATCGCGTCGCCGCTCGCGAGCGCGGGCAGCGACCCGTGCGCTGGCAACGCAATTAGCGCCGTAGATAATCTCGCCGTTGCTCTATTTGCGGGCACTCGAGGCGAACGAAAAAGGCCGAGTGCAGCGTTGCGCCGGCGGAAGGAGCGTTTGCGAAACTCCGTTGCCTCACCGTTTCGTCCGCGCGCGCGCGCGCGCAATGGATTGGCTGGCTCCGTAGGCGCCAAGCGTCGTTCGTGCCTTATCATCGGCTCCGTTTAATTGGCATTCCTTCCTAACGATGCGCGCTGGCGCTGCAACCGGAGCAGCTTCATATCCGTCGTTGCGAACGGCGAAAGTCCGCGACTAAGAATGCGCAACGCGGCAAGAGAGAAATAAAAGGAGGCTCGAGCGCCATTCGACACACTGCTCCCGGCCGCCTATTTCCAAGCTTTTATCGCAAAGTTTCGTCATGTAGGAAGAGCGAAACGAGCCTTCCGGAGCCCGTAAATCACTTTCTCTCCTCTCGCACGCCAAACAATGCTCGGCTATACTTAGCTCGGCCTTTGGCCTGGAAACACTGGGCTCTTGTCGGATGTCAACGATTAACAATGCACGTCGGCTGTAGCCTTTCTCATTTGCCGCCAGGCTCGGCCGTCGGGCTTGGCCAAAATTATGCGCCCGCGGCGGCTTCGCGACTTGTCACAGAGGCGACTGCGCCACTCGCTTTGTCGCTGGCTCTCGATCGGATACGCGAATCAGCCAAATCGTAGATCAGCCTCGGCGAGAAGCTCGTTGTCGAGCTGACGTGCGAATCGATAGGCGTTTCCGCCGCGAAAGGGACGAATTTACGGCCCGCGTCGCTCGCCTCCCGACGACTCTTTTTCAATTAGCCCGCACCGCGCGAATATTCGCGCGTTAATCGGCGCGCATTAAGGTTAATGCAGCGCACTGCGCCCGATGAACAATAACCGTTATTACCCCGGGCTATAAAATCTACGGACTGCAAAGTGCCTTTTCGTTGCCGGCGCATTTTCCGTTTCGTTATTTACGACGGCACTGCGCAACCAATTGAAACGTTACAGAAATTTCGAGCGATAAAAAGAGAGGATATAAACATACAAACGTTCCTTTGCAAATTAGGCCCGCTATTTTTTTTATCGGCCGTGTCAGCGAGCTATAAAACCGCTTTCCCGAGCAACATCCAAATTGGTGAAAAAATAAAAGTAAAAAAATAAGCGCTCGCGGGCCGATGGAATGGGATAAAGTTTATCCCGGTAGCGGTGCAAATATAAATAAAACGGGCTCGTCGGCGATATAAACAAAAAGTAAAACCGGTACCTGTCTGGAGAAACATTTACTCGTCGTCGGGAAAAAGAAAGCAAACGATCGACAATTAAGTTATATTTCATTAAGCATCGGCGAGATAAAGTACAGGCGAGAAAGAGAGGAAGAGAGGAGATGGGCTGGCCGCATAATTAGCAGTAAATTTTCCCGCGCGCACGTGGGATAATGGTAACGGTGCCGTTCTTTCCTTTTTCATCGCGCCACATTTGCACTTACGTCTTGTTTCTGCCGCTTGTCGAGCTAATTAATTCTATCGTTTTATCTTTCGCAGCGACGCGAGCGCGCGTTTCGCCTTTTAACAAGCCTTCGTACTTTATCGACGTGTTTACTTAATGGATTTCTTATTGCGGACATTCGGAAGGAGAGCCTGCTTCTCGCGGTAGTCGGATCGGAGAAAGGGCGTCGCGTTTAATCGACCATCGGCAATGCGGCAAGCGATGCCAATGAAACGCGTCATTCACGAGCGCTGCGAGGCGAAACCGGATATGCGATATTTATTGTCACGCTCCGACTCTCCAGTCGGCCCGTGTTCCCGCGTTCCCGCGTTCCGTGTTTCCACTGCAATGGACGATGCAAATTCGCTGCCGCCGCCCGCCCTCCCAGCCTCGCGCAATTAAAAATATTCGTTTACCCGTGCGTCCAATCCACAGTGATTGTTCAACGATTCCCTCGCCAACGCTGATTAATTCGCACAGCTGCGCCGCTCGCCCCGTAATTTCCGGAACACTTCAATCATTCGGCTCGGTTATGTCTCTCGCTCGCCGGCGCAAACGGCAGCAGCCTCCAATTTACTAATCTGCGCGCTCGACGGTAAAACACGATCGCCGCGAGTGCGTCTGGCTGCGCGGGCAGCCGAGCGTAACCTTTCCAAGTTGTTGATCGATTGCCAAAGCGCTCGAATTACCTGGACTACTTTGTCGCGGGCACGACAAAGCCGGGGCGCGACATTAATCCATTAGAGCGACATACGCCTTGGAAAAACACGCCTCATAAAGCTCCGCGCAGGCAAAGCCGCTGGTGCTTTTTCACAGCGGCCAACTTCGATCGAGCCACGCCGTTGGCGCGCACTCCAAGGCTTCTCCCGCTGCAGCTTGACGGGCACATCCGTCTCGCGATTTGTAGAGCGGAGGAGGGGGCGTTTGTCAGGCGCCGCGCTTCCGATCCGCGCCCTCGGCCCTCTCCCACCCTCCGTCGGCGAGGTTCCACGCCGGATCGGCCAATTGTCTCGGAGCGATAATCGATTCCCCGGCCGTGCTCTGTTACAGCTGGACGCGAAGAAGAGTCCGCTGGCCCTGCTGGCGCAGACGTGCAGTCAAATCGGCGTGGATCCACCGCAGTCGGGCAAGTCGATGCTGGCATCTCACGACAGCAAGGCCAGCAGCAAGGCCGCCAGCAAGTCCTCGTCGGACCCGGCGGGCGCGGGCCGAGAGAAGGGCTCGCCGGCGACGGCGCTGTACGTGCCGCCAACGCCGTCGGCCTCGTCGACCTCGTCGACCTCGTCGACCTCGTCGATCGAGAGCGCCCGGTCCAGCAGCAGCTTCAAGCCCTACGAGTCGTGCCTGGCCGAGGCCAAGTCGTCGAGCCCCGAGCAGCAGCAGCAGCGCGTGTCGTCGGTGCACTCGTCGAGCTCGAGCACCTCGCGCTCGCGCACGCCGGCGACCAGCAACAAGCGCTGCTCGAGCAACCAGAGCGCCTCGTCGGGCGGCCGGGCGGCCACGCCGCAGGGCCGCAAGAGCTCCACGCCGGGCGAGCCCCGGGCCTCGCCGAGCTCGAGGCCCGGCGAGGGCGCGGCCGCGGCCCCCAGCCCCTCGCGGCCGAGCGCCTCGCTGGCCGCGACCGCCACCACCGCCAGCGCCTCGGCGGCCACCTACGGGCTGCCGTTCCCGCCGCAGCTGCCGGCGATGGACCCGATGTCGGCGAGCTCGCTCATGTCGGCGCAGCACCACGCGGCGCTCAAGAGCGGCCTGGCGCACCCCTACATGGGCTACGCGCGCATGAAAACGCCCGGCGGCGCGGACGCCCTGGTGCCCGTCTGTCGCGACCCGTACTGCAGCAGTTGCCAGCTGAGCAGCCAGCTGCTGGCCTCGGCGCCGGGCGCCGCCGCGGCGGCCGCCAAGGCGGCGGCCGCGGGGCCGTGTGCCGCCGGCTGCGCGCAGTGCGACCACGGCAAGTCGTCGGCGGTCGCCGCGGCCGTGGCCGCCTCGGCCTCGCCCGCCTACGCCGCGTACGCGCACGCGCAGCTGGTGGCCTTCGCCGCCGCCTCGCAGGTGCCCTACGTGTGCAACTGGATCGGCAGCGACGCCGCGTACTGCGGCAAGCGGTTCGCCACCTCGGACGAGCTGCTGCAGCACTTCCGCACGCACACCGGCCAGCCGGCCGGCCCCGGCGGCGACGCCAACGCCGCGGCCGCGGCCGCGGCCACCACTGCGGCGGCCCTGTCGCTGCTGACGCCGCCGGTCCTCGCCGCCGGCCACCCGCTGCTGTCGCGGTCCTACCCCACGCCGCCGCTCAGCCCGCTCGCCTCGGCCAGGTACCACCCGTACGGCAAGCCGCACTACGGCGCGCCGGGGCTCGGCGGGCTCGGACTGCAGCTGCCGCCGCCGCCGCACGCGCTGCCGGCAGCCGCCGGACTGCCGCCCTACTTCTCGCCCTACTCGCTGTACGCGGGCTCGAGGCTTGGTGCCGCGTCCGGGATGCATCCGTAAGCGGTTCAGTGTGATAATCGAGTCGGCCCGCCTCGCTCGAGGCACCCTCTCGGCGGCCGAGCGCTCGTGTTTGACGCTCTTCCCGTTCATTTGTGTGACAGTGAACGCGTGTGTGTCGACTTGCGACTGTCTTCTTCCACGGACACCCGTAACGCGAGGTTCTTTCGAGAAGTATCACAAGACGCTCGAAGCCTTTTCTCCCAAGTACGCTCAAGTTATGTACTTTTCTTTCGGTCGAGAGGCGCTCGAGAGAGAAACGCGAGGTCGATCATATATATATATATATATATATAAATATATATAAAGAGCCTGACTGGTATACCACCGCGCGGATTCGTTGCGGATGTTTGACTGTGATTATTTACTTTGACTTTCTCGATTAACGCCGAGGGACGACTGCGGGCGTATCTATAACGATATAAATATAAATAGATAAGAGACGCAGATTTCGTTTGTTTTCCTTCGCGGTATACATATATTGCGATCTTTTGTTTTTAATCTTCCGTACTGTCGAATTTCATTCATGTACAATTGTCATCCTTTTCATATCCCGATTCGAATTCGATGATTATTAAACTGCGAGCGGTAGAAAACGTTACTATTTGACTTGTATTGTACCCACGAAGGCCACTGAATGTGGGATCACGTGTATCTCCGCATTGGAAATCACGTCTTTGTCCCTTGCAATGCTGTATGCCTTATCAATATCGACGACTGTCTGTGTATCCGAGTGTCCTTTTTTTCTTGTCTCTCTTTGCATACCATGTAAATATTGAAATTAGTATGTGCGTTCTCGTTTCATAATGAAAAGACAACTGTAAATGTTCATTATCATAGGACTTCTCTTTCTGTCCTTGACGAATTCGTTATTTATCGGTCGCGGTGCATAATTCCCCTCTTTTTTCTTCGACAAATTACGGCATCGTAAAAGACTTCATCGACGGCCTGCTTCTTCTTTCATCGTTACATCGTTACCAACGTATTGAATGTTACATCTGCCTTGTAACGAGCGACAGTAAAATGAATAATCATAAGCTCTCTGTGTACCCCCCTACCGACTCGTAGTATTTTTTTCTTTTTTTTTGGATTTTTTTTTATTGTTGCTACGCGTAGCACAGGATGGATAATGATGAAATAAAAAGAAGGCGCATGGAATAAAGCGCTTAACTACGAATTGCCCAGCCCATAAATTTGGACGTTGAACATTGTCGGGGCTGCTAACGCGTTGCTCACGGCTGCATAATCAGTCAGTGTCGCCTCCCCCTCCCGTTTTCATTATTTATAACCGGACGCCGCAGAGAGTGAGAGAGTGAGAGAGAGAGAGAGAGAGGAAGAGAGAGCGCGCGCGAGCGCACACTAGCCACGCGAATTTGCTCACGCACTCTGCCTCTGTACAATCCTTATGCGTATATAGATAGATGCAAGAGAGATATACTGTAAATTTGTTCATAGACAGCATTATACAGATATAATGTAGCTTGTAATTACAACGCGAAGGAGGACCGATGGATCACGTGTGAGCGTGCAAGAGCGAAAGAGCGCATGGCAGAGCGTACATTTGATGCGAGAGGCTGCGTGAAAGTTTTCATTGTGCTGCGAGGGACAAAAAAGTGCTAACGATAGATATATATATTATATAAATATATATAGTATAAATATATGCAACAATCTCGTCGTCTATTTTTGCGTAACCAAAGTTCTTTGTATAGATGATAACGAACCATTTCATTCAACTACATATGTAGGACGTTGTTTTCCGCGACGTCTCGCCCGGATGAAAAAAGTGGAAAGAACAAAGAAAGAAAGAAAGAAGGGCTTTTACCTATATCGCCCCTTCGATGTCGATTTATTATTATTCCCCTTCGAGACAAATGTATTAACGATCTTTTTGTTATTATTAGGAGCAAATTATCCTTCGAACGATTACTTTTCTTTTGCGATGTTTGTACCACAAATCGTCAGCGTTTTCATTGTTGTAATATTTTTATTATCGTCATTAATTATTTTACATTATTCTATTGATTATATTTACTGAAGAAAAACAATACATTCTTATGTTTATCTTATATGATATTTTGTTTTTCTCTTTCTTGTTTGGTATTGAGAAAATGCTGAGAAAATTTAAACAAACGCTATAGGTTTTTCAATTTTGAACTAGCGGAAAAGAAAATTTATAACGCAAGAAGCGAATTTGTCGAAAAAGAAAACTGTGTTTTAGTCAACTAAAAACCATTACATTTGTAAACAAAACAGCGAATTCGATAATATTGGCGCTTGTATAGTAGTTTTTCCCTCTTAAATTACGTGCAAATCTGTCTCTTGAACAATTGGAAATGGCGAAAAAATTTCTGAAAAATATAACAGATTGTTTCACACTCAAAATACAGTTGAATTAACATTATTCATGCCTTACCTTGCCTTTCCTTCTTTTTACATCGTATCTTAAACACGCGGCATACAAGTGCTGCGTTGTATTGAATTTGATAAATGCCAATATTCAACGCTTTTCACATGCAAGTATAAGCAACTTATGAATTTTTAATTATTCTTAGTCATTTTTTTCTTTTAATGACTTTCTCATGCCAACGCGTTAGTCATACATCGAGTCTGGCACAATAGAAAACACGAGTTTTAAGAACCTTTAGCTACACCTCATTATTTTTCGTTACGAATTTCTATTCCGTTCGCACAAAAATGTCAAAACTCGCATTAATATTAAAATAAAACACTTACGATGAATGAACTAGTGAGTTCGTGAGCGATACGCAACCGTTGAAAATGTTTTGACAATACTCGAGAATAAAGAAAAGCTCTACGTTGGAGCTCTGGAAAATGTACTACCGACAAAGCCGTATCTATTATGCGACAACTACCCAACATTTGAATAACAAGGACGAAACATCTAAAAATATAGCAAGCCAAAGAAGAAAACTTTCTCCAACGGGTGAATATTGATAAGTTGCTGGCGTCACCATTTACATATATAATATACCCATCGCAGTAACACCTGCCAATTTTCAATCGTGAATTGGCGCAATATCAGCACCCGCGCACGTATATCCATTATCCCCCTCGTTTATCGAGATTTATCGAGAGTTGCACATCGAAGCCTATGCAGTGGTAGCTAGTAGCAGCATCCGTTCCGCCGGGAATTACGTTCTCTCTCTCTCTCTCTCTCTCGGCTCATGAATGTCATTGCGCCTGTCGCATTACCCGGCAACATGATGTTCCCCTCCCGTAATATTAGTACACCACGCGCGCACCTACGCGTTGCCGGATACGCAACGATTACGCTTGTGCATGTCTGCGTTCATATATCTTCTCTATTCCAATGCACTTTCTCTTTCTTATCCCGAACGCGAATTATTTTGCTTTTTCCGCGATATCTGCCTTTATATCGTTCGTTAAAGTTTATACAGGGCTGTAGTTTTGGAAAGTTTTGCTCGGGAGCTCATAGACATCAAAACGAAATTATAAATAATCTCCGTCGGCGGAGGATCACGTGTGGAGATTTACGAGCTTCTACTTGAATGCTTATTTTTTATAGCGAGACGAGAAAAAAACATTGGACGCAAGCATGTTTACGGCGGCTCGCAGCACAAAGGCAATAAATCAAGATGCGTAATAGTAACTGAAAATGAAAAAAAAAGGAGAGAAAAAAAGGCCCGCATATTACGGCTCTGCGTCGTAAATTGATAATGACCCACATGAGAGAGCGAGTTTTGTGCGACGCGTGATCATCTTTTAACAGGACGTTCTCGTTCGACCGCGGCACTTCTATCTCCTTGCCGTTGATTAATGCATGAATCAAGTAATTTCTTAACGAACAAGTACTATCAATGTAGAAAAAGGGAGAAATACATACTTACCTCGAAATACGAGCTCATCACGGTAGCTTACAACATATCGAAAATCCAAGGCAAGAGAGTGCCTTCCTGCCTCGGTTATTTCGTAGTCGAATGAAGGCGTGCGAGAGAAAGAGAGAGAGAGGGATACGAGCAGGTTCGAATATCCCGCTTCTCTCGGTCGTCCGTCGTCGCCGACGGCAAAAAGCGGAAGCAGATGGAGCACTCACGCGCGCTGAGTGATTTATGGACAGCCAGACAGAAAATAGAGAGAGAGAGAGAGAGACTACATGCGCTCTCTGCGAAGTCCACTTGACCTATTCGCCTCGTTAGAAAGGATAATGTATTCATGAAGGGCTCGGTGAGTAGCGCGATTTTCGGACCAGCGCCCTTTTTTTTTTTTTTTTTTTTTCGACCGACGTCAAATTCGCGCGCGCACACAGACATTCCGGCTGGTCGGCTTTTTAATGGGCCTTTCGAAAGCCTAAGCCTGCGCGAGAGAGTTACGGGTTTTTGCGTGCAAAGGTCGCATTGTTTTTATTGTTTCGCGCTGGCATATCGGTAATTTGAGGCGGGATTCCTCGTTCTAGACTGCCAAAAAGAGTATTACAAAAAAACTCTATTTTTTGCGCGCACGAGTTCGTTGAAAGGCCCTAATTTGTTTTACAAGTCCGAAATGGAGCAAAGTCGAAGGGTTGGCTACACCCTGTCCTCCACGTTCGCGCGAGAAGTGTCACATTTACAATTCAGATTTAGATGTGCATTTCTATCAGGCGCGCGACGTAACACATTCGAAGCGAGCGAGCGAGCGAGAAATGGCATCGACAGGTGTCTCGAATCTCATACGATGCTGATAAATATGACTAATCAAAGGTCAAAGAGAATGGCCTGGATTTTATTTCCGTCTACCTCGAACAAGGTACAAATCGAAAATAACGCGCGAAATATTTGTATGCAGCGGAGACACACACACACACAGTCGCACATAACAATCAATTGAAAATTAAAAATAATTCGATCAGGCTCCTCGAATTAACAGAATAAAATAATAACGACTCTATTTCAATCTGTAAAATTGTGCGATTCAATTACGTTGCGACTCAATTTTATCAGCGGAGAGACTGCTGGAAGCAATTTTCGCAGACGTTCGCAATCAATCAAGCGTGTAACTCTCGTGTGTCAGAATTCTCGCCCGTAATGTCTTTTTCTCTCTTTCGTTCTCTCTCTCTCTCTCTCTCTCTCTCTCTCTCTCTCTTTCTCTTTGGCCGCCTTAGGATTATGATAAAAGGAAACGGGGGGGATGTGGCTCAAGTGGCGCGTCGAGAAGCTGCTTCCGGCGATGTGTTCTGTATCAAGCGTCGCACACGTCAGCATAGAAGCACGCCGCGCCGCAGACAAATGTGTGCGATTGCACTTGACTCTCTGCCAGTTGAGCTGCTGTCAGCTGAAGCTCCGTCTTCCGACTTCACTGCTACGGCTCCTTGCCTCTCTTTTTTAATGCGCGATAACAGCGCCGATTATTTTTCAAACTGTCTTCCATCATAAATAAGCTCAAATGAACGAGAATACGGCGCTTAATTAAACATCGCTCGTATCAGGAAGCGGAGTTGTCGGTAGGCTACGTATTGATCGCTGACCCAGACAGTTTAACACTGCATGATTGCAGTTGCGTAAGCTACTTCTCAGGACTGTTCCAACTTGAAATTGCTGCAAACAACCGTGCATCAAATTTGCAGACACTTTCTCGAATAACCACCAAAATTTGATGAACCTACAGTTTGATTTTCCATTTGCAACAGCACGCGTTTCATTATTTGAATAGATACCTACTGTGTTTTATAACCTTGTAGAATTCGAATGTCGAGTAAACACAAAGAAAGAAGCATCGGTTACCAGAAGGCAATTCACCTAAAAGAAATAGGTCTTTGAACTAAAGCCGCAAGGAAATCACTAGTCGTAAATTTCCGAGGTCAAACCGTTGTGAAAAAAAATCACGCAGCAAGAACAGCAGCAAAAAAAAAACAGAAAAAAAAGAAAGAAGGAGGAGGGAGAAAGTGAAAAAGTCGTTCGCGCGCGCACGCCGCGGGTCGCTTTCCGAGACAAACGACGTGGAGGAGCATCCCGAGTGGAAGAGATTAGTCTCGCTATGACAGACGACGCTTGGACTCTCCTGGAGAAGAAGAAAAAAGTTGGAGACTCCTTCCGCTTTCTTGGATGACACGGACGAACACGAATCCAATGAAATTTCTACTAGATGTTGGCGAAACCTCCCGCGAAGGAAATATAATCCTGTAGATTGTGATGTGGAGTTGAAGTGTTTCGACAATGAGCTTACGTTTACGAAACCTTGCAAATAAAAATTTTAATTCCAGATAGCTTCTTTTAAAATTCAATCAGTGCAAAAGCACTCGCAGTACGGATAGGGTAATTCATGGATTACCGCGTTAAACAGATGGCCAATCGGATCCTGAAATTATATCGATGGTCACCTCGAAAGTTACAAATAAATTTTATTGAATACATCTGTAACAGTGACTCGTTGAGCATCGATGTGTTTGTATTTAAATTCGGAAAATAAAAGAAAATACGAATGGCCAAGCGTACGATAATTTTAAATATTGCACTTGAAGTACGACACGTGCCGTTTAAGATTTATCAAGTAAAAATTTGAAAAGCACACTCGGAAAACGGAAATCGACGAACTGTTTCACGATCTCGTCAACCGACGAACGAAATCAAAAGACAGGAAGAAATCCGAAGAGATCAAGTGCTTCGAAGCGTATATAACGCAGCTCCCGTGTGCGTTTAATAAACGGAAAGCCAAAATTCGGGCGCTAAGCGCATTGCAGCAACGACTACCTCCATCCACACGCAAACGGCGGAATTCTTTTGGCTATTGGTGGGCAGCTCGCGGAAAAGGATCGAATTGAAAAGGTGTATACTTGCAAACGCCTCAAGGAAAAAGAAGTCAGTAGAAAAGAGTCTCTCTCTCCCTCTCTCTGATCCTCTATTGAAAACAGTCGACGGCGCGCAAACGCAAATAGGATTGCCCTCCTCCCCTTGCCCTGCCATCCACCTTTTTCTTCCGCAAGTCCGTTTACGCGTTTTGATGGCGTTTTGTCGGTACAACACAATTTGGTATGAGGTTAATCGATTGGGCGCCGTGAAAGGAACGTGTATTGGGGTGCAATTTCGCCCGTTGAATCTACGTATCAGTGAGAACGTATAGTTGAATGAATGGGGAGGCTTGGACTTTGGCGACTCGGTGCTCGCGATGCAAACGAATTTGGCCTTTCCTCTTTTTATTCTCCATTGTGCGCGTTTCAAAAAGACTTATCAATTTATTTGTAGCGCGATTGACATTCAGACGGCGTTGAACGCAACGTACGCTTCGATATAAAGAATAAAAGAGCTGATTTAAATAGCGGAATCGCATCTTAGAAATGTTTTCGTTAGCGACATTCAATCGAGAACATTGCTACGCGAAAACCCACAAAAATCCTGAATACGAGATGAAAAAGCCTGTATTA